CTCTGCCTTGCCTTCTCTCGCAGACAAGCATGACAAAGCAATATGGCAATGTCGCTTATGCGGGAGAAAGGTGGAGCAAGGAAGTTCTTCGATTTTAATATGTTTCCACAAGACTAACAAGTCTTGGGTGAAGAAGTAGACAGGGCCAGTGTTCTCCCCTTCTCTTTAGAAGGACTAAGGGGATGTCTCACGTCTTCAAGTGCCCCACACTTTATTCAGACTTCTCTCTGAGGTCCTTCAGCATCTCCTGGCCCCACCCAAAGAGCGTAAGTGCACTAGTGGAAATCCCCTGAGCAAACTAGCACATGCTGTACCAAAATATTGTGTCTTTGCTTTGTTCTCTTACATCTTCACAACTAAAGGAAGGAGATACAATCAGAATGATCGTCCACTTAGATGATAAACAACAGAATTTAAAGAGACACAGCCGAATTAAAGACCCTGGAGTGGCAATCTGTGCACTTGATGAGATCTGCATTGGAGGACTGATAGGATCTGTGAGTTCTTTTTGAACACTTAATTTAGTCCGTGGGATTTTAGAATTGCACCTTTTTGAAAGGATATTCGGCTCAGTGCACCAAACGTATCAATCAATTTTCCTCATGAATCAGGCGTATGATTTTCCAACCAAGCGTTCAAAATAAGATTAGAAACAAGCTCACACATTGTTAGCTAACATGCAAAATTGTCACTCTGCATTTAGTGTGGAAGGTGGTTTAAACTGCCAGGAAAAGGCTCCAGCAATAAGGACATAGACTATGTCTAGTTGACTTCTTGTTCTGAAATCGTCCTTCAACTTGTAGGCTGGATCTGGGTTCATAAGAGTGCGTGCATCTCTTTACTGCTCTCTGCATGTGTCTCAGAAATAAGGATCACCCAGGACCTGGTACAAATGCTTGTGCCTCCTCTGTCCTCATTTTATTAGGTGTCCCAATAACTACGAGGACAAGGCCAGCTACTTCAAGCAGCTGTCAAAGACTGGGTGTTTGCACTCACTGGGCGATGCTCTTTACCTCTGAGAATTGAGCCTTTTCATGGGCTCAAGGACCCATTCGATCCCAGGGCACGCCGAGTCAAATCGAAATACATAATGCGCTGTCCACGGATTTTCTCTGTCTGATCACCTTATAATCTCACTCTAGTGCTTTCATCCCAAGAGAGAACCACTGTGACTATCGAAGACACTGCTTCGTGGCTTGAATCCTGGTGTGATTAGTCATTTGAAGATCTGAGCAAGGAGAAGTCTGACAAAAGACATTGTCTATTAATGGCAAGATTGCTATTGACCATAGCTCTGAGTGCTGAGAATGGTCTAAAGAAAACAGACATTTACCCTCCAGAAGCCAGCCAGGCTGAACCAACCCCACTATGTTAACCAGGAGGTCATATTGAGAACAATTTCTACTGGCAGGCACATTAAGTCCAAATGATCCAGGCCATTTTGTCCATCTTCCGCTCTGTATACATAAGCATCGTGTGGGTATATATCCCTGTGTGTTCCTGAAGGATTGGTGAGCAATTGCTCAAGATCCGCATGTCCTGCCATGAATTCTGACTCATAGTGACCCTGGAAGAGGGTAGAACTTCCCCTGTGGGTTTCCAAAACTACAAATCTATATGGAAATAGAGAGCCTCATCTTTCTCCCATGAGTCAATGAGATTGTCACAAATTGAATCCTATTTTACACTGAGAAAGTCACTATTGAGTCTATTAAATTTTGAGTCAGCAGATTGTTTTCAACAAAGGGACAGGTAAGTAAAGATGTTAGACTTTGCAAGCTATATAGTCTCCATGTCAGCAAAAGAACAGGCATGGTGGTGTCCCAACCAAATTTCACTTACAAAAACAGTAGGAGGTTGTCCATCCCCCAGGGAGGAGGTCACATGTAGATCCTTGTAATCGGTTCCCCCTTTCCGGACAACAGAGAAGTGGGTAAAGGGAGACGTCGGACAGGGCAAGATATGACAAAATAATAATTTATAAATTATCAAGGGTTCATGAAGGAGCGGGGAGTGGGGAGGGAGGGGAAAAATGAAGAGCTGATGCCAGGGGCTTAGGTGGAGAGCAACTGTTTTGAGAATGATGAGGGCAAGGAATGTACAAATGTGCTTTACACAATTGATGTATGTATGGATTGTGATAAGAGTTGTATGAGTCCCTAATAAAATGATTTTTTTTTAAAGTAGGAGGTCAGCCAACTTCATCCGATCTCCCTTCGGACCCATTTTAAAGTTGTTTCAGTTTAAAAAAAAGTAAAGGGGAAATACACATGGATTAAGCCTCTGGTGACTCTCCTCTGACAAGGCATATGAACCGCAGAATGCTGTTGGAATGCATCCGAAAAGTGGATTATTGCAGATGCAGTTAGGTTAAAATTAGCAGCCCATCATTTGATCTTCCTTTTGACCCATTTTAACTTTGTCCTACATTGTACTATTTTCTGAGATCTTTATATTTGAGGCTTCTCGCTGCGTTACTTTGATATTATGGTTAGTTTGTTGTTGTTGTCTTTTTAAAATAGTTTTCCTTATAGGAAATCCAGGAGAAGTAAATCAATAGAGACAATCACGAGATTAATGGTGCTTTGCGGGTATGACAGGGGAAGTTGGGGAGTGGGGTAGGGTGGGTTGGGGTGGGGATGGGAAGCTAGCAATGTATAAGTACAAGCACGAAGGAAATGTTCCAGAATTGACTGTGGTGATGATTGCTCAATTCTGCTTAATATGATTATACTATTGAGTTGTGTGGTTTGTGAATTATTTGCCAATAAAACTTTTAATTTTTTGAATGCCTAGTTCAATGGGTGAGATATATGTATTAAGATCAACAGAGAAAGGGGGGCAGGGAATTGCTATTCCTATGAGCCTCTCAGCACTTGGCTACTAACCAAAAGGTTGGCAGTTTGAACCCCCCAGTCACTCTGATAGAGAAAGATGAGGCTTTCTATTCCCACGGAGTTACCCTCTCAGTAACCCACTGGGTGGTACCAGCTGCCCTGGGAGGTTGTCCACGGTGAGTCAGAGTCTATGTGATGGCGACGAGTTTGGTCTGAGGTCCCTCCGCAGGAGAAAGATGCAATCCTCTGCTTCCACAAAGATTACAGACCCCTCAGCCCGACCCCATCCCCAAGGCCTATTCGCTGGCCCTTCGATTCTGATTTGTAGGGTTCCTACCACAGTGGGTATGGCTTGATTTTCCTGTGGTTAGAGGTTAAGAGGAGCCATTTATAATAAACCTGCAGTGAATTGCTTCATAAAGTACAGAATCTCTCTTTAAACAAAACTCAAGCCCTAGGCCATCCACTGATGAGCTTTGCAAACTTCGTCTTTTTTTTAAGTGGGCCCTGTTTGCCTTCCAGCCAGTGATGGCTGGAGCCTCGATCTGAATCCATCATCTTATTCTGAAATAAGCCTAGCAGCTTGAGGACTGCGAGAAATACCTGAAAGGATAGTAACAGGAGTCCCGGGAGGCCCTCAGTGAGCACACTATGACGCGTTCGACTCTGACCTGAAAACTTGTCCGCTTGGTGGCTCCCGGAGGTGCCTCAGAGGAAAATCCGAGTGATCAACTTGCCAAAAGTCAAGCCCTGGCAAACGCCAAGGACCACAGTTCTACTCTGACACCCATGGGTCACCATGAGCCATCATTGACCCTGCAGCAACTGGTTGCTGGTTTGCTCGGAGTGGCACAAGTGGCTCGTGTTCTTGGATGCTGACCTAAACCGCATCAGTTCAAGTCCACTCAGAAAAGCTCGGCAATGTACTTCTAGAAGAAAAGTCTGCTGATCTGCTTCTGAAATACCCGTTATTAAAAACCGTGTGGAATGAAATGAATCCACTGTGACCAAGTTGGGGGGATTTTAGCAAAGGGTTTTTAATGTCTCCCTCTTTGTCCCTCTCAAACTCTGGAATACTTATTCTATCAAGCTATTATACCAGTTTAACACCTTCCTTGTGTTATGTTTAAAATATGTATAACTTTAAGAAAATCATGTTTTAAATGTGCATAGTTGCAGTGTGGAAAACTTAGTGTGGCACTTTACAGTATCAGTTTCGGGAGCTTTATTTGGTGCATTTAATGCAACTGCTTATTGCAGAATCGACTTTGTCTGTGTTACTGTAGACTGTTACCCTGCTGGCCCTATGAAATTCTGCCCTTGCTCTTCAGTGTCTACTACACCTCTGTTACTTCTGGCAAGATGTTCTGCCTTAGCACTAATCGCAATTCTTCTCCTTTTCCACCCTGTTCATTATGTTTTAATTTTGAGGACCTTCTGAGGGTAGACTATATTTATATTGCCTTTTAAAAATTTAGAATAGACAAACATTAAGGTGTTATTTTTTCCTATCATTCATCATCTTGTCCCAGTCCACTGATCATAAGTTTGGTTAGCTTTCATGAAAATTATCTTCCAGAATACATATTTTTGTCTTTCTAGGATAGGGGGTAACTTTGCTACAATCAGTATGTATGGTGCAGAGTAGCCTGTGAGTGAGACGTGCCAGCAGTGCGATCATTCAAATGAAAACAACAAAGGAAATATGCGCAAGTGTCTGGCTACTCAGATCACTGCAGCCTCTAGGACTCATTTCTTTTACTGATGTAAAAACTCAAGAAAACTTTGAGGGGAAAAAAAGGTGTGGCTGGAAAAACAACCACCACCACCACCTTATGGAGGAGCACCGTTCTCCTCCACCACCCAGGAGACCGCCATGAAGTAGGGTCTCCGCCACAGCACCTCCTTGATTCTCCTAATCACGTACAAAGTTCTCTATCCCTGATGTTTTCTACCTCTGCTGACAGCAGCCATCCACTTACTCAAGCTTCCTGTTTCTGACACTTGCCTTCTTTTCTACTGTGTGTATACTTCCCCCTGGCTGTGGTTAAATAAGTATAAAGCTGTAGATAGAACAACCTCTCTTGCGCTCGCGCTCTCTCTCTCATTCATTCACACACATGGGCTCCACAAGCCTGCACGCTCCTCTTTCTTTCTATCAAAATGACAATTCTAGGTACCGCGGTGGGGATGGCTTTCTATTTCCTTCATGCTGTATCTGGAGAAAGTGGCTATGCACAGAACGGTGAGTCATTTCTAACGTTTCTTTAGGATTTTGGATCTTCTTTGGTGTGCACATTAGATTGTTGAGGTGCTGAGCTTGGGTCGGAGAGTCTTCTGAGAACCTAGCATGCATTCAGAACTAGAGCACGTAGGTTCAAGCCACCAGGAGAGGGGACATGAGGGATACACTGAGGTGGTTTAGAGATGGTCTTAGGATTTTCAAGAAGGAAAGTTACTGACTCTCAAAAGGGATTTTAATGTGGATTGATGCCTCTGTTCTTACAAAAGGGACACCTATATCAATGCTATAACTGCACTTATTGCCAAATCTCTAGGGTCATCTCGTCGTATAAAAACATAAAGCTAGGTTTGTTGTGTTGAGCTTTTAGGAATTTCCATCATGTGTGAAAAAATAATGTCCAGAAACAAGAATTTTGACTACTATGGCCAATGTTTTATCCCTGGCACCTAATAGAGTGTCTAGACACAGTAAACATTCAGTATACACTTGAAAATGCCTTCAAAATCCTTCCATTTTTGATGGATTCATGGGGAGAGTTCAATAAGGATCTAAGTGAGCTGTTTTTCACCAAAGTATGCTTCATTGTCAACATATCAACCAGCTTGTCCTCCTTCAAGAAGAACCCTGGTGGCATGGAGGTTATGTATTGGGCTGTTACCCACAAGGTCAACAGTTCAAAACCACTAGCCACTCCTTGGGAGAAACACGGGTCTTTCTTCTCCTGTAAAGAATTATAATCTTAGGCAATTCTGCCCTGTCCTGTAGGGTCGCCGTGAGTCGGCATCGACTTGATGGCAGTAAATTTTGTTTTGGGTCTTCCTATAATGGTACTTGTATCTGGGGATATTAAAAATCTCTAGTACCTTAGAAGTAGACCATGTTGTCCAGCAATCAAAGCACTCATTGTCAACCAAACGTGACAATATGCTTCCATAAAGACTGACAGCCTAGGAAACTCCCCGGGGCAGTTCTACTTGGTCCGCTATGAACACTAAGAGTCAGAATTTACTTGAAGACAGTGGGTGTGGATTTTGGTTTAGAAGCAGACTGTTCTGATTAAGCAATGCATAATTACAATAAACCTGTAGGCCAAGGTGATGTCGCAGCAACAGAAACCAACTGGGGATTTGCTTGCTCCTTTAGATTAAGCTCTTGCACTTTCAGAGTTAAAAGTGCTGGTTCTAGGTGTTATCAAACACATCAGCCCAATGACTCCGTGTAGATATTTGAGGTCGTGTAATCACTACGGATGGAAATCCCTAGAATTTTCTCATTAAGGGAATTGTCAGCGGGTTGACATTTGCACAGCTTGAACATGTATGAATCACTTTGTGGGCTCTGATCATTATCCCATGGCCAATGTTTGCATGGGGACAGACAGACTCCTGGAAGATTGGACTAGACTAGCATATTCACATAAACCTTTCTTTAGAATAATATACCCTTGACCTCCCTGGTGGCCAGCCTGTTTTAAAAGAAAGGACAACTCGGAATGAAGACTGAGTCTCACTTCAACTGTTTAAAGAGCATCTGTAAAGCATTTGATGTGCAACCACCCAGCCACACGATGCTGTCCCTGTACCTCCCAGTTTGAGGTCTAAGGATTTCATGGACTTCTCACTACTGTTTGTCGAAAGATAAGTTCTCTGAAAACCAACAAGCTCACCAAGAGATGAAATGGGTATTTTAAAAACATCTAAAATATGTAAACAGTTCCATAAACGAATTGCAGTGAGAGGGAAGAAGACTTCGAAACCACACTTATTACACTGTCTTGGATATAAGGCATAGTCCTCAAAGCTTTATAGGTAATGAGGCTTAGATGGTGGATACTTAGAAAATAAAAGCTCCACATACTTGCAGACCCACAGTAATACAGCACTCTCCGCTGCCGTCAACTCTTTTCAGAAAAGCCCCAAGTTTCCTGAGCATTTTCAGAATCTGAAATCTTATTTTATCATTGCATTACTTATTTCGCTAAAATCATGGTGACGACCATAAACATCAAGTTGATTCTGACACCTAGGGACCCGACAGGGCAGAATTGAACTGCCCTTATGTGTTTCTGAAGCTATAAAATCATTACAGAAACAGAAAGGGTGAACACCATAGTTAACCCCTATGGAGTGTTGCTGGTGTGCTAGGTCCGGGGTTGGCAAACGACAGCTCTTGAGCAACACGCAGTGCTTTCATGTGGCTCTGAAGTACAATTGAAAACGAAAATAAAACTATCATAATGTCATTTATAAAATGTGTTAAGAATGTTATTCAAATAATGGTGATTTCATTGGTTGGCAAAAATATATTTATGGCCCTTGAGTAATTTTTAAATTTTTGTAAGGGACAGGATTGCTTTTTGGTCTCAAAATTTCCTAACGCCTGTGCGAGGTGAAGTCACTGTATGTGTTTTGTCAGTGAGTCCTCACAATCAAATGCATGTATGTATCCGAACCCTGAATACCCCACCCCACCACCCCACCCCTCTCTCTCTCTCTTTCTCATTACCATTAAGTCAATTCAGACTCAGAGCTATTCTATAGGACAGGGTAGAATTGCCCCTGTGGGTTTCCAAGACTGTAACTCTGTACAGGAGTAGAAAGCCAAGTCTTTCTCCCACAGAGTGACTGGTGGTTTTGAACTGTTGACCTTTTGGGCTGAGGGTCAGGGCTACCATGAAGCAGAACAAGAACTTAAAACCCATGTCTGTCTATCTCTGGTGCAACAAGCCCTTCGTTGGAATACATGACACATAGCTAAGAACTTTTCAGCTTAGTCCAAATATAACATTCTCTTGGTAAAATGTCACTCAATTTTGCAAGGCGCTGAGGGGATTTTTTGTGGTTCCAAAGCAACTCTGCATGGTGGCACCTGCTGAAGGACCAACAAGCTACTGCTTCTTGACATACAGTCACTTAAAGTGCAGGAAGCAGAATATGAACAGGGCATCCATCATTAGGAATCACCTACAAATGCATTTTGCTAGACTGGCCAGCAAAGGTCAGTGGAAGACGTTCATTATATTGCGTCCCATTTGCTTCTATGTTCCTAACAAGATTGGTGTTTGGGCATCCTGTGGACTTGGTACGTTCCGTTGTGGTTCGATTTTAGTATTTTCGGGATCCATCCAAAGCCTGAGGGGCACTTCATTCCTGGTATGAGTGGGCAGAAATCCCAGAAGCAGTGCCAGGCTCAGGCTCCACCACTCTGAGAATTGCTTTGGCTTCTCTGAATGTTCTCAGATCCTAATCAGTGTGTGTTTGCTGACGAACTTTTCCGACCTCTCCAAACAAAGGCTGTACCTATGAGATCTACAGGAAGGCCCACCTGGTGTGATGCAGTCTCCCAAGAGAAGTTGCCTTAAAAGAGCATTCTCCTATAGAGATGGACAATGCTATTGCTAGTGGGGAATGCCTAAATCAAGGGGAAAGAAATGACCCCACCAAAAAAAACCCCTAACTCATTGTCATCAAGTTAATACCATCCCTTAAAAATGTGAACTTCTTGGTGAGCAATATAGGGATAACGTATCTCTATTTGCACAAATAGATTAAATTCGAGTTTAGAGAAAGGACAGAGTGATGCTCGGTTCCTCATTCTAGATCAGGAATGCACTATCCCAATGGTAGGGATATTTGGAAAAATTGTTTCAAAAGCCATACTCACTGCCACTGAGTCAATTATGACTCACAGTGACCCCAAAGGACAGGGTAAAATTGCCCTTGTGGGTTTCCAAGACTGTCAGTCTTTACTGGAGTAGATAGCCGCTTTCCTCCTCAGAGAGACTAGTGGATTCAAACTGCTGACCTCTCAATTAGCAGCCCAGCTCTGAACCACTACATCACCAAGGAAATATTGTTTAGAGGTCATTTATTCATTGTGATGAGTTTTTATTTCTAATAGAAAAAAAAACCTGTAAAGTGTGAGTTTATTTTCAACCACATTCTTCTCCACGTCCTTTAACTTTCCTTCTTTCAATAAAGTAGAACTGCTATTTTTGCCTTTATGCCTAGCACTCATGGCTTCCATCTCAGTAGTGTTACTCCAGATATCCCAGGGATGCACTTAATTGCTTCATTAGTAACTGCAAGTTTGTTCCTCCCCAGGAGACTTGGAGGATGCTGAACCAGATGACTACTCATTCTCGTGCTATAGTCAGTTGGAAGTGAATGGGTCCCATTATCACTCGTTGACCTGTGCCTTTGATGACCCAGATGTCAACAGCACCAACCTGGAACTAACAATATGGTGAGGAAGGGCAGTTTCATGGGTACAAGCATGTGTGGCCTAATTTTCAAGTGGTTCAAAACTCTCACAAGTTTGCTAAAATCACCTAATACTCCTTGTCCCTCACCAAAAGACTCACACATGGACACGCATCATTCCTCTTCCAGGTGGTACTGCCACCATCAAACGATGGGATAGATCCTGGACCGTCCACATCTTCCCTGACTTCGTAATGGAATGAAAATACTCATTCTCGTAGAACATTCCTCCCCCCAGATTGACTGGCTGAACTAGAGACAACTGGTGTCTTCAAGTTCCCGGCCCAGCAGGCCAGTCTCTAATCCCACTGCCAATATTTGCTAGGTATTTTTTTTTTTTACCAAAAACAAGTTATGTAACTTATGTATACCTGTTTCCTCATCTGTAGAATGAGCTGTACCTAGGTCACAGATATTCTCTGATGACGGAACAATGTACTATATGGGAAGCATGCAGAGGAATCATCCCGTGTCAGGAGCAATGAAGAAGAAGCTTAAAGCCAGAGTTCTATGCATATCGGTCTAACATCCCTACCCAATGCAATCAGTCAAAATTTCAGAAAAACACCTTTTTAATATTATATGCCCTCTCTATGCACCCTCTTGACTTCAAAAGATTTTCTCAATCGATGTTTTCTGGAAAGCTAAAGGAAGAACTTCATGCTGGGTTTCATGAGACCCCAGAGAAAGGGCCAAGTAAACCAAAAGGGCTCTGGTTTGAAAGTTTGCTGCAGATCCCCGGGCTCTTTATCTTCCCCCTCCTCGTTGGTTGCCAAGGGTTACTATCTCTGGTGACTTGAAAAACGACTCTAATGGGAAACACTGACTCCAGACTATCACCAACATCAGATCAGATGACCCAATTCTTCATGAATTGCTAATGAGGAAAATGTGGCACTATTCATTGATCGTATAGAAGGGTTTGCAAGTTCTGGAGATCCCCAGCCAATTCCCCATAAGAAAAGAGTCCAGATCCCTCTGGATTCTATGCGGTTGTGGAGGTGCCATTGAGTTGGTTCGAACCATAGAGTGAACGCTGCCTAGTCCTTCCTGCACCATCTGCGCCATTGCTCAGGCAGAGTTGCAGCCACTACATCCATCCATCTTGTTAAAGGCTTCCTCTTTTCCACAGCCCCTCTGCTTGACTAATAGGATGTCTTTTTCCTGCATTCCATGCTTCGTCTTCATTGCCAGAAGCTTTCTCTATCTATTTGTGCAGTGCTTCCTCGTGGAATCGTGGAATAATTATAAATTTGACTTGAATTCCATTATGGGTTCTCCAGCGGCATTCTCTCAGTGCACTTTCATAACACAATTTCCAGAAATGAAGTGTCTCTCAGATTTCCAGAAATAAAAGTGGACCAAGAGAGCAATATGCAGAGTGGAGGCTGCAAGCTGCTGCCATTATGGCTAGACGGTGTCTGACCACAGGTGCAGTCTACCCCCGGGCCTTCCTTCCCAGTGTGTCTTTCCCCAGGGACCACCGCTGCCACAGACTGCACTCTGCCAGAGAGCCGGGGTCGGGACTGCCGAGATTTGTTCGTCTACTGACAGACGGGAGGTAACTGGCTTCCCAGGAGGTGTACTGGGCCAGGAATTAAGCCGGATTCTCTTGTATGGAAGGCGAGAGAAGTCTACTAAGGAATCACCACTCCCCTTAGGCTGCAATGAAACTATGCTAAAGTAGCCAAACAACTCAATCAAACCGTGTGGTCAAGTCAACACCAAGGTTTGACCCCGGGGTTCTCCACACGGCTGGATGATGGACCGCCGTGCTCACTGTGGTTTCTCTTGACCAGGCCAAGGCTGACCTCCAGGCCCACTTTCACTCACACAGTGTTTGACCACACGTACATAAACTTACCCACTTCCCTTAGCAAGGCTCTTGATTTTTCCTGTCATATTTTAAGTTGTCTGTAGTCTTGATTTGGGTTTTTCAATTAGAACCAGATACCAGGGTACTTCAAAAAAAAAAGAAAATGTCTCTGGAAAAATAGACTTAAAAAATAAGTTCACGTCTTTACTTTGTTCTGCCAGCCTGGACCCCATCAGGCATTTACATTTCAGACCCAGCTTGTAGCTATTTGTATAGATGTCATAGTGAGCTTTCAGACGGCGATCTATTTCCCTTATTTCCACATTCGTAAGGTTACCGCAGTCACTCCCATGTACCGCCTACAGATACCACTTCAAGCATGTAATAGTTTGTTTCCCTCATTACCACCACTGTCACAGTCTGATTTCTGCCAATAGACGTGCTTTGCTAGGCTCAACAAGCCAGGTTAGTCAAGGGCTCTTCATTTAGTCCTTCGGGTCAGGAAACCATACTAATCCTCAAAATCATCCCTTCTTCTTCTTCTTCTTCTTCTTCTTCTTCTTCTTCTTCTTCTTCTTCTTCTTCTTCTTCTTCTTCTTCTTCTTCTTCTTC